TTTTTTTTTTTTTTTTTTTTGTGTGTGTGTGTGTGTGTACGAATTTCACTTATATTATTCTAAGGGCGGTTGAATCTATTTATAAGCAGACAAGTGTGGGATTTGGAACATGTCGGGGTCAAGATAAACTTATCCGTTGGAAAATATCTATAGCGGAGATGCTACGAGTCCAGTTACGTAACTATTCTATCAAAATTTTTAACTGTTAGATCTACTATTTTCAAGGTTACACGATGATCTAATGGTTACAAATACGACGAAATAGTTCCGTAACGGGACGTAGCATTTTCCTATATCTAGTATGGGCCCATGGGAAACAATAATACGCTTTGTACAATAAAACTAGTGCAGAGCCCGTGCGATGCATGGGGTGCACAATTTTAAGACTATTTAGCGAAGATTATATGCATGAATAAAGAAAAATGTACGGGATATATATAGTACGTATCCCTGCGATGCACGAGATATATTTATTTGGAGAATATTATATTATAAGATACAATTTTAAATAGAGAGATTTATAATACGTAGGGAAATTGTACAATAAGATAGTATTCGACAAAGACACAATCATATATTATTAAAGACCTCATTGTAAACAACATTATGAGTTTGATTATTGGTCAACTCGTTATTTTCACAAACTAATATCTTCAACCCCCTTCTATTAGGTACACGCGAAACAACAACATATAATAAAGACATTTAATAAAGTGGTAACTTGTACCTTTTCTACAAACATATTAAACATTTTCATGTTAAGAATAGATAATTGATTAGGAAAGAGTGTAGAAATTATTAGAAAAACAAAACAACATGGTTAGAATGAGATTAGTAAAAAGACTTCATGGGTTGAACATTTAAATTAAATAATTGAAATAATTGGAAAGTAATATTAAATGATAGATATTCTCTGGAACGTACAAGTTGCATGATTAGTACCCATAGTTGACCAGTTTCTTCATAGTGGTTCTTGAAAGCAAAAGTTTGTCTATACATATTCACCCCAAACCGTTCAATTTACGAAATTTTCACTGCATTAAATTTCAAAATTGTTAGAAATGTAATGCATATAATAAAATTATATGATATGATTTTAATTGATTATATTGCAGAAAAAACTGCAGTAAAAAAAAAAAACAAAAAAAAAACTTACTTTAGATCCATAAGAATTAATGCAACCATTTGGATATCGTCAATTTTTATTTGTTTCTCTTGCACACTTTAAATGTCAACAACAAATCCTATAACATCTACAATAAAAAAAAAACCAATATGTTATAATTTAATTACTTGGAAATAAACAAATAAAATTAGAAACAAAATGAAATAATCTTACCGAATAACATCGATTCATCGATTTTGTTGACATATGTAGAGTTGCAAAGTCTTTGAATTGAAATCGAAATACAGGAAATTCCTTCCTTGCACTTTGTAAACATAGTGCTCCCGTACAACATGATCTTAAAATCACCGGATGTCGAATGATACTTCCCTATATTGTTGTCCACTTGATAATTTTTTATACAAATGACCATGCCCTCCTCAAAATTCCTCTCTCTAAACGCAACCAAGTTGATTTCTCGTAGTCATGCCGTAATGCGATTACCCTAAATATATACGAAAAAGCAATCAATGAAAAAATTTGTTTTAAAAACATAAAAATGTATATTATATATACACGAAAATATATGTTTAATATTTCAGAAAAAAAAAGTAAAAATAATTTAGCTTACAGTTTTATCATGTAGAACCAACTAAAGATAGGATTTGTATGTGCTGCCCAGTCTTGGAAAAACATTCTTACAATTCGAACTTTAAGCATACGTCTACTAAACCTATTAACTTGTTTGATTAAGCCAAATTCTTAATTCATTGTTATGAATGACACACTAATTGAGGATTTATTTTTCCGCAGGTGGTTGAAAGTGAGGAACACGCTGATTCAATATTTGGAGATTTATAATTTATAATTGCATTATCGCATTATATGTAGAGATAATGTGAAGGAAATCATATCAGATCATTATATGTAAGAACAAATATGATCAGATTTATATCGCATTATAATTATAATTACATTAAAAAAAGATTTTCCATACAACAAAACACTTCAATTAGGCATGGAATCTGATTTAATTTTGAAGAAGTTTTTTTGGTTGACCGATCAAGATTTATAATTTATAATTGCATTATCGCATTATATCTAGAGATAATGTGAATTAAATCATATCAGATCATTATATGTAGGAGCAAATTTTCTCTCGTAAGAAGAGTTTCTTTTCTCTCGCCGGAGAGTTTTAACTTCTCTCGCCGGAGAGCCTTTTCCTCTCACCGGGGGAGGGGGGGTTTGATTTCTATCAGTGGAGAGTTGAGTCCCTTATTCCCTTTTCAATCTTTCTTGAGCTGGTTCTCTTTCCTTTCTTATCTCTAAGGTTCCGATTGTTTCAGTGTGTTCTTAGCGCCATGGTAGACCAGCTAGGGCACAACTCTACTGAGGAGGTGGAACAGAGGCTCCGAGTCTTCTCACTCTCAGCCGTGGAGAACAAAGTTATTGATCTAGGTCCACAAGACGTACAAACGGGTGTTGAGGAATGCGATAAAAGTTTGTTTGGTAAAATAGTCGGAGATAAAAGGACGCATCTTGCAGGGGTTAAGAAAGCCATGAGAGCAATCTGAAATTGAATTCAGCAATGGAGGTAAGAGCTTGGTGCCAACTTCTTTCAATTCATCTTTGAAAATTCAGAAGATATGAAGCGAGTGGCAGGGGTGACAAACTGGATTTTGGATAATCAATACTGGTGCTTTGAAAATGGTCGGCCAGACTGCGTTGTTCCTCGGATTGCTTTAATGAACTGAAACTCTGGGTTCAGGTCAACAACGTTCCTCTGATCTGGTTAACATCTGATGTTGGGTTGAAGATAGGAAAAGTATTCAAATCTACATCTAATGTTCTGGTTTGCAATTTGGGTAATCAATGTGGGTTTCTCCTTAAGCTTCTTGTTACAGTGAACCTAAAGGAAGCTCTGCCTAGGTGTGCCACCATAAGACTGGGCTCTCAACTAGTTACAATTACATTTAAATATGAGAGGCTGGTCAATATGTGTTTCTACTGTGGTAAGGTGGGACACTTGAAAAAGGGCTGTGAACTTCGAATTAATGATGTGGAACATCACCAGCTTAAAAAAGGGCAGTACGAAGAATGGATGAGGGCCTCAGAGGGTTTACAGGGTCAATATTGCGGCAATACTAACTCATCCTCTAGGAAGAATAGAGGATCACCATCCCTTCAACCTACTGGATATAACCAGGAGACAAATAATGATGATCAAGCAGCTGATTCTCCTCAATTCACTACATGCTCGGTTCATAAAGAAATTTCTCCAACAGGTATGGATTCCCATTACCAGAAGAACAATGAAGACCACCCCTCGGGTAGTCAACACATAGATATTATACTATATGATGCTCCTATATTCAGTAGAACAGGGAAAGTTGCTGAGACTATAACTCCCTTAGTTCCCTCTAAGGTGGTTTTTATCATATAGAGATAACCGGGCCTATTCTTCCCATGGAGAAAAAGAGAGTATCTAAAGGGGTCAAGATATCAGAGGTGATGAATAAAACTTGGAAAAGAACTAGTCAGGCTGAGGGCAGACTTACCAGGAGTAATGATCTCAATACTTCAACTGAAAAGCAAGTTTCTACCAAGAGAATGAGAGACACAGAAGGAGCAGATTTGGAGCTTATGATCATTGACACACTTCAGGAGGGAGGATTAAAAAAACCTAAGCTAGAGTTTAAACAAATGAAGAGGGCCAATTGTAAGGAGCACTTAAGTTCCAAATGAGAGCTCTGGTTTGGAACCCACCCCCGCAACTGACCCATTGCCAAAAGGCCCAAACGCGAGATGAAAAATCTTTTTTTTTTTTAATCTTTTTTTCTGCCGATTAAGTAGATTCAGAATGAAAATTAAGGGATTTGTAGAGGTGTGGGTGGGCCTTATACAATTTCTCAGATCAAGGAAGCTTTACAGCTCCATCACCCCTCTTTTGTTTTTCTCTCTGAAATAAAAAAATAAAAAAAAAATTATTCTGCAAACTTGTTCTAAGTTAGGATTCTCTGAAATGCATTTTGTTATTGAGCCTGTAGGTATTAAAGGTGGCCTTTTGCTTCTTTGGAATTCTGAGGTGGAGATATTTCACTGTTATAGGGATTCTTTTTTATGGCTATGTAATATAAGGACAGGACTCAGAGTACTCTTTGTTGGGCTATCTTTGTCTATCTGAGCCCCAACAAAATTGAAAGAGCTAATCAGTGGCAATACTTATTACAAAAGAGAGTTAAATGTGTCCAGGACTAGTTCCTCGCTGGAGATAGAAATGATGTTTTTGAGGTGGATGATAAGAGGGAAGGCATCTGCAGAACAGTGGGCAATCTGTGGGGGTTTAACTCTTTCTTAGCTCAAATGGGAGTGCAGGAAATTCCCTGAATAGGCATTCACTATACCTGGGCAAACAATAGAGTTGGAGATGGTTTTGTGGAGAAAGTTTTAGACAGTATGTTTGTTTCTTTTGGTTGGAAAGTGAGATTCCCTAACACTGAGGTCTATAGCTAGTTTAGAAGTGGCTCTGACCACTGTATTTTGGTCATTAACACTGGGGATGATCAAATCAGACACAATAGGAGATTTAACTTTGACAAAAGATGGCTTTAGAAGAATGGGGTGAACAAGGTGATCCAGTCAGCCTGGGGTCAGCACACATAAGGAACTCCGATGTTTGTTCTTAAAGAGAAAATCAGGAGGACAAGAGAGGCATTGATCAACTAGAGAAAATATTTCAAATCCAACAGTGCAACTCAAGTTAGGAACCTGACAATGCAACTAGAAGAGATGAGGAAAGCTGGGGGTAATAGGAATTGGGATCTCTGAAACAAACTCCAACAGGAGTTAGATGCTGCCAATGTCTCTAGAGAAGTATTTTGGCAGCAAAAAGCAAGGGCTTTGTGGTTTAAGGCTGGGACAATAACACCAAATTTTTTCATGCCTATGCCATGCAAAGAAGGAAAATGAACTCCATTCAGAGATTGTTGACAGAGCACAACAGTATGACTGACAAAGCAGAAGAGATTGAGAAGATCATCACTAGATACTACAACAAGCTATTCACCTCTTAAGGATCTAAATAAGGCCATGATCTTCTCCCCCTTATCCCCTACACAATTACTGAAAAGATGAATACTATGCTCATTGCCCCAGTTGATGAGGAGACCATTAAGCAGGCAGTTTTCAGCATCAACCTTGACAAGGCCCCTGGAGAGGATAGCATGACAGGCCTTTTTTACCAGCATGTCTGGCCTCTGCTTTGTAAGGATATATGTGTAGCTGTGCAGAGCTTCTTTGACTCCAAGCAGATGCTAAGGTACTGGAAGCATACTTTAATTACACTTATTCCCAAATGTGTTAATCATGTGCCCATCACCCAATTCAAACCTATCAGTCTTTGTGCAGTCATCTATAAAGTGATTTAAAAAATTCTATCCTTAAGGCTTAAACACTGTCTGCAACTTTGTATCTCTGAGAACCAAAATGCATTTATTCCTGGTAGGCAGTTGTTAGATAATGTAGTGATTAAGCATGAGGTTTTTCACTTCTTGAATAGACACAGGAGTGGGAAAATTTTTTTTATGGCTTTAATGCTGGATGTGGTGAAAGCATTTGATTGTGTTAAGTGGAAAGCAGTGCAACTTACTATGATCAGTATGGGTTTTCACAAACTCTTTGTTCAATGGATTATGGCATGCATCACTAACCAATCCTTCTCATTCAATATCAATGGTAAGAGTTATTGATATGGTACTGCTTCAAGAGGAATTAGGCAAGGGGATCCCCTATCCCTTTACCTATTTCTCATTATTTCATAATTGCTTTCTGCCAAACTCTCTAAGAAAGCCACTGATGGGAGATTCAGAGTGATCACAGTGTCTAGAGATGGCCCAATGTTGACTCATCTGATGTTTGCTGATGACACTCTCATTTTTCAACAAAGCAGATGAAACACATGCTAAAAGACTACTGCATATTCTTCAAGTGTTTAACTTCACTGGTCAGTAAATCAACTTTGAGAAATCTACCATTTTCTTCAATAAAAATACTTCAGAGGACACTCAGAGAAGCATCTGCT